ATTTTTTGAGGCTAATTTTAAAATGTATGGGATACCTTCTTAAATTAAGGAGTTGGTCAATACTACTGACTGTAGAACTGTTTCATTTTCCAGACCTGCCTAAGGAACACATTTTTATCGTCAGTTCATTCAACTACTGACTGATCCATCCATCTATAGAATGTGCTTACTTTAAAAGCCTGAGATTAATTTAGCTCCAAATAACATGACAGAGAGATTAAACACATTTTTAAATAATTTAAGTCAAGAATACAATATTCAAATGAATTTGTCACAGAAGAAACACTCCAGGTTGTCATCTTTTCAGTCAAACTACATAACTGAACATTTATTAAAACAATTTTTAAATATGATAAGCACTTATTTTTACACCACCACAACCCCTCCCGCCCCCCCCCGTTACAATGTACTTTTGATCTCACCAAAATCGAGTTGTAAAGAAAATTTTCTTTGTCAACACAGGGAAAAATATTCCTGCATATCTGACAAGAAAGAATTCCCTGATTCCATAGTTCTTCACTGACTGACCCCTTCCAGCGCTTAACTACACTCACACTTGGAAAGGTTATCCAAACGTCTATCCCACGTCTTTTTCTGAAAATAAATCATGGATCTAGCTTTGAAATTGTAAGGCCACAACTTTGCAGGCAGAAGCAATATAAAATTATCTTCACATTGCTCTGCTATTTCTGTTCTACTAATCCTCATGTGTGCAAATACATTATAACTAATATTTATTCTTCTAGACAGAAAGGCTTAATACAGCCTTAACTAGGAAAACAAAGTTAGCTGTCAACCTAATAAATAAATCTGTGCTCAGCAACAAAAGTATACTTAAGATTCCTCAAAATTTTGATATTTTTGAGAAAAATATATAAATTGTAGCTGAACAACGGCACGTAAGTTATTTAAAGAATCCCATCACTGTACTACTCTATGACTTCAAAAACTTTTTCTTAATTGCAGTAGCTAGTTTCATAAATGTGGGCATATGCATTTGATTCAATGTATATAGCATTGCTGAGTAAATATTTAGAAAGGAACAGAGCTGTCATAATACTAAGAAATTTTCATAATATAAGGTACAAGGTACAAATAGGTATTAGGGCTTGTGGATCCTAACACTGTTCATCACTTTCTTGTACAGTCATGAGGCAAGTATTTCTCTACTCTAGCTGTAGAGTAGTAGCTAGGAATAAGGGAATTATTCCTATTCCTATAAAAAGGGAATACAGTTATCAAACAGTTAAAGTCATTTACTCAATGTGTCAGTGTGTCTTCCCCTCTGCTCTGCTGTTGAGACCCCACTGGGAGTGCTGTGTACAGTTCTGGTCCCCCAACATAAGGACGTGGAACTGTTGGAGCAAATCCAGAGGGCCACAGAGTTGCTAAGAGGACTGGAGCACTCCCCTATGAAGACAGGCTGAGAAAGCTGGGACTGTTCAGCCTGGAGAGAAAGTTGTGTGGAGACCTCATAGCGACCTTCCACTATCTGAAGGGGGCCTACAGGGAGGCCAGAGAGGGACTCTTCATCAGGAACTGTAGTGACAGGAGTTATGGGTACAAACTGAAAGAGAGGAAATTTAGATTAGATATTAGGAAGAAACTCTCTATGTGAGGGTGGTGGAGCACTGGAACAGATTGCCCAGGGAGTTTGTGGATGCCCCAGTCCAGAAAAGGCCTTGAGCAACCTGGTCTAGTGGGACATGTCCCTGCCCATGGCAGGGGAGTTGGTACTAGATAATCTTTGAGGTCCCTTCCAGCCCCTTAACATTCTATGATTCTATAATAAAGACTTTAAATCTATTATGAACTAATGTAGGTTTTTCTAAAATATAAGATGTATGCAAGCACAACCTTTTAAGTATTCATGCAACTTGCTGACAACTTTTGTATGCTCAAATAGCTATGAAATACAAGGAAAAAGCTGCTGTTCATCTTTATAGAATATTATATGAGTATAAAAGCAAGATATGGATTTGAAAGCGCTAAGAGGAATTTTACTGCAAATTGGTGTAGCTACACTGAAGTGTGGCATTTTTCTCGTTTTAGTTACATTATTCTCAGAGCTTTTTAGTCAATCCTGGGAGGAGTAGTAAAACTTCAGAGACTGTGTTCGTACAGTGGGGCCTAATTTTATTCATGTGTACCCTGAGGAGAGTGTAAAAACTCAGACCCTTATTCCTCTTGCAATTCTGCTTCTTGGAGATTTTTAGTCTAAGTGCAATACTGAACTCTCTGTTGCCAAGCCGGTCACCTCTGTTGAAGAAAAAAAGTGTATGGTCCTGACATTCCAGCAGGATGAGAAGGGAGATGAAAAAACTTGCCAAGAAAAGCCAGCTTGTAGTGGAAATTACCTCCCTGGTGAGGGGGAACAGAAAAGGGAAACAAACCTCAGATTTTCTGATCTTTACCATGTACAGTTAAACAACATTTTGCAAAATTCAGTGAAGAAGACAAGAATGCAAATTATCCTGTGCTATTCAGAGGGACAACCTAGTGGGATTTTCAGATCAGGAAGCATAAAAGTATTTCTTCTTTCTTTTTAATTTCAGATCTAGAATAAATAAAACCTACAGCTCCCCAGTGCAAACACACAATACCATTTACAAGGCATAGACCACATTTTGTTCTATTACAGCTCTTAGCACATTGGCTCTCAGTTTATGATAGTACAAATACCTCCTCATCCTAAAAGTCCACCCAAATCCTGAAGCATTGAGATGAAACTGAAAGCAGTTGCACTGCATAATGCCAGAGAGTTGCCTAACCTCGTGTCTGGTATCAAAGAGCGTTCAGTGGTCTATGCCACGAGGCTATGAGGATTGCAGGACTGCCAGTCAGCCTGGAACACTTCCCTGGTTACAAACTCTCTTGACTTCCAGTGATCAGCCTTCAGTGAGTTTCTGATCCAGGTATCTTTGCTGTATGTCCCGTTTTGTAATGTAAGAATGCCACGTGTGAAAAAATGCTGCTAATTTTTTTACTTTGGACTGGCTACCTCCAGATTACTTCTTCTATCAAAAGGCACACCTTTGATAGTGTAAATTCACTTCTGAATTTACAGATCCCTGTTACATCCTCACTGAGCTGCCTCTTTCTCATCCACAAGACTCCCAGACAATTCATCTGCTTCTCAGTTTTGTTGTCATTACACAGCTTTTGGCTGCTTTGATCCTCCTATTTGAGCCTTTTCCTAGCTCTGCTGCCTTTTTGTAATGGAGCAGACCAGAATTTTACACTACATTAAGACCTAAGTGCACCATCAATTTACACAGCATAAACTGTTTTCTGTTTTATTCTTTATCTCCTACTGAGTCATTCTTAGCACTTGTCTGACCTGCTGCTGAGCAGTGAGCTGAGGTTTCCATAAAATTACCCAGGTAACTCCAAAATCACTTTGCTACACAGCAATAGCTACTTCAGAGGACCAAGGTGCAGGTAAAGTGAGAACTCAGTATTATTTTATATATTATATTTATGTTATTTTAGTAAAATATTGAAATACATCTACTTTATCAGACTCTCACTATCATGAGATTTGTCTGCTGCTTTTAGCACTTTCCATTTTTATTATTTTTGAGAATACAACCTAATTGCAAACATTCTGTTACTGTTTAGACCTCTTTAACTGATCTGTTATGTATCTGATTTTCTCCTTTATCATTATTCTATTTTGCAAATAGCCATGTGGATGGCCCAATGTCCCAATTAAGGGACTCCTACTCTTCAATCAGTGCATTGCTGTTTTTCAAAGAAGCTTTAATGAGAGACCTCACCTAAACACTCGTACTTGTCTACTCAGGAAAGTGTCCAGCAACTCTATTGACCATGAGGCATGAACATTCTTAATATGTAAATATTTCATACTAATCAGTGCTTTTACACTCTGATCACCTAATGACCTGTAAGCTTCTCTTGTTTAGAAGAAAACATAAGCATGTACAGGTATTGCAAATTTTTCCACGTTTTTCATATTTGTTCATTTCTATTTTCTTAACTTTGACACAAAATACTAAGGTGAGATTTTTCCTCTTGTGATTTCTCTAACTCATTTGCCAATGAAAAAATAATTTATATTCTCCAGTGAAACAGTGATCCAATGCTCACACTAAAAATTGAAATTTTTATTTGGATTTGTGTTCTGTTAGGTGTGGTTACCACCAGGTATGGTTACCACCAGAGTGAGAGATTTTGCTATATATGGTCATAATTCTCAATGGACTAACTTCATAGCCATAAAGACACTCAGTCTAAGGGAAGTCTGCATTAGTGGTTGCTTATTTAATTTCAAATCATAGCATGGCACTAGTTTCCCACAGAAGAAACAACTCGTTATCTCCGTTGTCTCAACAGTCTCACTTAAAAGCAGATATTCTAGTCCTCAAGTGGTTTTTTTCAGACTGCAATTTCCACAGAAATATATACAGTGGGTTCAGTTCACAGTTTTAATGGAACCTTAGTTAAACTGCTCCTTGATGTTAATTTTCCCCAACTTCTAGCCTATTCTTTTACCAAAGTCTATTTATCATCCATAATCATGTTTCCCTTCTTACACATCTACTTTTCCCCAGTTCATAGACTTTAAATGCCTATTTCTTTCATTAAAAAAAACCCGCTGTGACAGAATCCTGGTTTCATTCTTTGCACATACTCCTATTACTAATGGGCCTGTCTGTTTTTATTCCCTTGACAGTATTTGCATGGTCATGCAATGTAACACTGCTTCTCTCCCTCTCTTCTCCTCCTCTTCACGGGTCTGGAAAGCTACTACATGAAGGCCACACTCTTCCAGCCTGAAGTAAAATCTTTAATCCAAAGGGAAAGTGTACTTTTTTTAATAGCAGAAAGAAGGAGGAATTAGAAAATAGAAGTAAAAACCCTGTTTCTGTTCAGTGCTGCTGCATGAAACAGCCACAGAAAAACAATAAAAGGAAATTTGTTAGTGAAACCATTTCAGAAACAGACTTTTTTTCTGACAAATGTACAGAAAACATTAATTTGAGGAGTTGAGGTTGTTTTATTTTACACCTAATACAATTCAAATTTAAAGGATTACTTGCACAAAAAAATAAACACATTTGGTATAAAAATTTATTGTCACTTTAACACCTTTTTTTCCTCTTATGGCCCCCACCTTCTCTGGAGCAGAAACATATAAAGACTAATGGCACAAGTTTGTTTTATTCTACAGCATTTTTTTTGTTTTTACATACTTGAGTACCCTAAAGGACAACAGCCCGCTGTATACAAGAACCATTTTCTTCAGCCTGCTGAATTAAGTTTCATAAAGAACCAAAGCTATAAAGGCATTTTAAAAACATTGTCTCTTTCTTTTCAGAAGCACTGACTTTTTGCACCATTTATATACATAGTGTTACGTAACAGCTCTTGAGTACAGTACATGCAGCAGAATATATCTCTTGTATATAAAACATACATTTAAAACCTTGACTTATCGGAATTCTTTGAAGATTAAATAATTGTAGAATGCCCAGTGCTTAGAGAAAATGGTTTGATAGTACAAATCTCTGCATATGTTGGCCACTGGAATAATCCAAGGCTCACTGGAATATTATCTGTAGCACATCAAGGTGCGTAAATAATTTACTTAGAATGTTAAAACACAACTAGCAAAACCAATATTCATGATCTTACGACTGGGGGCTGGAACTAGATGATCTTTACGGTCCTTTCCATTAAGTCCCAACCATTCTATGACTGCCATGTTAACTCTTCAGTGGTTGCAAGCAGGTGTTGTGGGAGTTCCCCCTCCGCTCCTAAGACCTCTATAAAACCTTTAGTACACAATTTGTTTTCCAGATGAAGAAACTTATTTATGTCTACTGCCTCTTCTCTTCATTGCAGCTGTACACTGTGGACAGTACCATTTCCCTTTTGGTGCTTCTGTCAGTCCAACACATCCATAGTGGAACCACTCAATAGGACACTATAAAAAGAGAGTTAAAGAGATGGTTTGGGATTTGTTTTGTTTTTTGTTTTTTTTTTTCACAGTGCCTATCACAAATACAATTCTATGAAAATGAAACATGAGTAAAAAGCATAGATTCTGCTTTTCATACAAATTACAGGAAAAAATGACAAGTGATGAAGATCTCAGTCTCTAACATACACTCAATAAACTAAGGAGAGTGATAAGAATTCTAGGACTCATATGAACTCACATAACAGAGCAAAATAACTATGTTTTGCTTTGAAGGACTTAGTTTGACAATACTAAGTGACACAAAAGTAATCTTATCACGCATTTCTGTTTAAATGTAGTGTCTCAGTAAATACATGATGACATTCAACTGCTCTTTTAAAACTTTTTTTATTTGAAGAGGACAACTGTTATTAGCTAAACACAGCTAAGCATTCAGAGAAATAAATGGCATTTTGAACTAGGGCTTTTCTGAACCCAGTAAAGGCTGAAGGTTTCTAAAAGAACCTGAACTGTGAGAAGAAATGAGAAGTTTCCTGAAGGGTGGTTCAAAACATATGCACTTTACTCTAAAAAAAAATCTATTCAAAAACCAACTCTAAAAAAAAGTAACTTCTGCAAACAACAATTACATGCACAAGCCTCTCATGAACCCTTTGAACTTTGTTACTTACATCTTGGTTATCACAGCCTACCATTTCACCATAGGACACCTAGTGAGAAAAAAAAATTCCATTCTTAATAATTGTATTATTAACTAAAAGCAATTAACATTTTCAAAGGGCTAACAATCAAGATTTTTCCTTTAAGGACTCTGTCCATTAACAGCAGCAACAACATTTTGATTTTTCTTCTCACAGGTATCACAGATATCACAGAATATTCTAGAAGGATATTGGAAGGGACTCACGAGAGTCATCTCTCTTAAGCATCCTCTTCACTCTTAAGTGAAGAGGCTGTGCGGAGCTTCTGTTACACAATCCAAACACCACCTCGTTCATAGTGAATTGATTTTCAAAGATTGTTTGTGCAAAAGAAGATGCATCTGCATATTTCAGGTTGGATAAAAAAGGTCAGCACTCAAAGCCTGAATGAAGTACATTTTGATGAAAACAACAGTGCTCAGTATGTTATCAGCCTAGTTCTCAAGATTATATTGATGTCTGCCATTTCCCTTGCATACATGACAATTTCAAGCACTTTATTTGAAACAATCAAATATTTTAGAGAATTACAGAAATCTATAAACTCTAAAAAAAGTCAACTCTCTTAAAAGTGTTTGAAATAAGAACAGGCATTTTAAGTAAGTTTCTCATGTTGTCATTCATTCTCCGGATAGCTTATCTAAAATTAGGTTTTTGTTCGGTTGTTTGGGCTTTTTTAAGTTTATGGGATATTTTGGGTTTTGGTGGGGGTTTTTTTGTTTGGTTTGTTTGGTGGTTTTTGCTTTCTATGGGGAAGTTGGAGAAAACAGACAAATTCCTTACTAACTTAACATTTTAACTACATTCACTGTGAACCCTTTCCATTTTTAATTTAATTATTTCTGAAGTCTCCACTAACAGATTTTAAACACTCCAGGTATGTCACATCACTAGAAAACTGACCACTTTTAGCTTGAGTTGATAATATTTGTAGCACCAGTAAGTAAATAAAAACAGATCAGAATTTCAAGGGTAAAACCACAATGTTCTAAAATTAGCAACCAGAGAAGGAAGTTCAATTACATCAAACCAGCAGTTCTAGTTGTATTTCAGGCTGGAGGCTATCCTTACCTGATTACAAATGCAGTAACGTGGCTCATTTGGATCATAGGTCCAGTCAACCTGGCTATTAGAATCAGACTCTGGTATTACTGCTGTTTGCTGAGACAGTTCTTGTGCTAGTGCAGATGAAGAAGAACATGATGACAGAGAGGAAGAAGAAGAAGATGACGAGGACTGCTGACTTGAGGATTTGTTGTTGTTTCTGAGAAAAGGAAAAACAAAAAGGAAAAAATGGCATCCATGATTTAAATTTATTTCCTGCCAAGTGAAAGAATCACTAAACAAGTACTTTGTTAACTCTGAAATACTGCAGTATGTCAATCCCAAAGTATCATTTGCTAACAGATTTCATTCAACTACTGCAAGCACTGGAATGGACCCACTGAATGCTCTTTGGAAAAGGAAACAAGTTGTACCAGCTTACAAGTGCAAAATACATTGTTCTAATCAATGGAATTCAACAGCTCTAAACTGTCAAATGGCTTTAATGAATGCTTTCCTTCACAAAATTTTCCATTAACAGCCTTGGTGTCAAGTCCCCATAAAAATTATATTACAAATGAAACAGGAATTTACATATACATAATGTCATATGTCATGTATCTGACACTAAATCTATGCATAGATTAAAAATCCTTCTAAAATAGTATTATTAACTGAGCTGTGAACACACATAAATTTGTACGAAGAAAAAAACTCGTGTCAGTTTAAAAGGATGGGCATTTTGAGACAAATTATTTCAAGTACGAGTTGTGACACTGTTGGTTAAAATGTTTTAAAACTTCATTTTAATCAGAAATAAAATTCAGTCCATTTCCTGTCCTAGATGATCAGCCATCAGAAAGTGTTGCGTTTATTTGTGATCTGGCATGAAGCAAATCTGCAGATTATTTCAAAACCATCTACAAACCGTTGCATGGTAATTCCCAACATTTGCTGTTATGTCAAATCTCTCCAGAACACAAAAAAATGAGGGAAGAACCTTGACTGTATTGCAGATGAAAAAGCAAATCGACACATTTATTTACAAACTTGGAGTGTGTTTGCTTAAATAAAAAGAAGTGAGAGGACTGAAGAACACAGCCCTGAAAAAAAAATGTCCAGCAGGCAATAACTGTCTTCTACTGATTCTCCCTCACAGATATTAAATACAAAGTATTTCTATTATGGCCCATGACTTTTAAGAGAAAGCTTAGCTGCCTTAAAAGCTATAATTGCAGTCAACAAGTAAGAAAACCTACTTGCTTTTTCTGCCACTTCGTGAATCTGTGGTTGATGAACTTAATGTCTGTGTTAACGTAGATGCCAGAGCTGATGACGAATATCCAGCTGAATCTCTGGACAATGAAAATTCTCTTCCAAGCTGAAAATCATTGTTTTTAAATGCTTCATAGCTGGCTTTTAGACTGGATGTTCGTCTTCCCTCCTTCATCTAAAAGGAATACTGGTATTGTATCAGATTACACAGTAAAGCTCTTACATAAGACAACTGCTAACTGCTAATTATTTGCACAGGTTCATTAGTTACCTTGTTAACAAAGTGATGTAGAGTAAGCAGTAAAATGTGTAAGAATATTCCCCAGGAAAAGCCAGAAAACAAGCTGTCCCTTTAGGCAATTTATATAGGATGAAACTGTGGCATATAAACAAAAGCTGAAAGTGATCATGGGAATTCAGATTTAAAAAAAATAAAGTCACTAGCCTTTCTTCTTAATCAATAGCAGATGGCAGAGTGACAAGAACATTTTGACATTACCTGTGCCGTGGCTTGCACTGCTTGAGCTGCTGCCATGGTAATTGCACCGGCCCCGGATCCTGAAGATAATGAGCCCAGGTTATATGATGCCAATGGTTGAGAAGAGTTTGTATTGTATGCATTGTTTGAAGAGGATGATGAATTACTGTTTCGACACCCTTGATGAATAGAACACATTTATGAAATTCAAAATGAAACTAAATTCCTTTGCATTTTAAGAAGTTATATATGACAACCAGTGAAAGAGTAGGAACTCAACGTATCAGAGCAGTCTAATAATTTCGAAAAAAGGTTTTAAAAGTAATTTGACATAGACAGTATTTGTATAAGGGAAAAAAAAAAAGAAGTTTGTTCCCTCTCTATGCTCATGTGCAAGGAGTCCTTTTAGAAAGATAGCTCTCACTATCCTACTCAGCTATCAAAGATGCAGCTGCTGTATCTGTCGATATTGAAACAATGCTGACTAACCATCAAGAAAGTAAGAATTTGACTGTACACCTATACTGTTTCTGAAGTAAAACTTTACCGATCTTAATTCTAAAAACTACAAACCACAGTTTTAATGCAACACAGATTTCCATGGCCATCTACAGAATGACAGCTGCTCATAGTTACACTTTATTTGCAACTTCATGTGAAGATCCTTCAAAAGAAAAGTGAAGTAGGTATGAGGGAGACTACTTAAAACTGATGAACACTGCTAAATTCCAAAACATACAGTAGTTACTTTACGTACTATAACCTCTCATAATCTTTTATTTTCAGAAAAGAAACTAAGAAACGCCTAAATTTTGAAAATGGGCAGAAAGTTGTGGGGGTTATTTTATTCACCAAACAGGCTTCTTGCCTCTTTTGACATAGACAATACATGAAAGAATTTTATTTTATTGTAGCCAAATGCCACGTCAGACCAACACTTTAAAAAAAAGAGATGTGAAAATTCTTTTCCCTTACTTTGGAAATTGTTCCATGCATTTCTTTTTCCCAAAGCAGTAATGCATTGATCTCTTATATTTCTACTACTGCCTGAATGAAATCCTACTGTTATCTTCTTTGAAGCAGTGTAAATAAAAAGGAACAGCCAACAGACAGCTGTTAAATGACAACAAAACTGACCTGCTTCATGGACAACACAGATGAGTAACAATGCCTACAGTATCTCATGTTTCAAGTAATTGAAAATCCCAGAGGAAAGGGTATTAGCCTCTGATTGAAAACTGGTTGAATGGCAGGTCCCAGAAGGTCATTATCGATGGCACAGGGTCTAGTTGGAGGCCTATCATTAGTGGTGTCCCCCAAGGTTCAATACTGGGCCCAGTACTGTATAACTTATTTATCCATGACTTGGATGAGGAGGCAGATTCCTCTTTAGCAAGTTCGCTGATGACACAAACTCAGGCAGAGTGGCCAATATCCTAGAGTTCTGTGCAGCCCTTTGAAAGGACTTCGACAGGTTGGAGAGAGAAGCAGAGAAGAACCTTCTGAAATTCAACAGAGAGAAGTGCACAGTCCTGCACCTGGGGAGGAATAATCCCCTGCACCAGTACAGGCTGGGGTCAACCTGCTGGAAAGCAGCTCCGTGGAGAAGGACCTGGGGGTCCTGGCGGACAACAAGCTGTCCATGAGCCAGCAGTGTGCCCCTGCGGCCAAGAACCTGGAAGGTTCTTAGGAAGACCATTGCCAGCAGGTCAAGGGAAGTGATCCTGCCCCTCTGCTCAGCCCTGGTGAGGCCACATTGGGAGTGCTGTGCCCAGTTCTGGTCTCTTCAATACAAGAGACAAGGAGCTCCTGGAGCAGGTCCAGCAGAGGGCTATGAAGATGATTAAGGGACTGGAGAATCTCTCTTATGAGGAACGGCTGAGAGAATTGGGCCTGTTCAGCCTCAAGAAGAGACAACTGAGAGGGGACCTCAACAAGGTATATAAGTATCTGAAGGAAGAGTGTCAAGAAGACGGAGCCAGGTTCTTCTGGGTGGTGCCAAGCAATACGACAAGAGGCAACAGGTAGAAACTGATGCCCAGGAAGTTCCACTGGAGTATAAGGATGCACTTGTTTACTGTGTAGGTGTCCAAGCACTGGAACAGATTGCCCAGAGAGGTTGTAGAGTTTCCTCACTGGAGATATTTCTGAACTGTCTGGACACAATCCTGTGCAATGTGATCTGGGATAACACTGTTTGGAGCAGGTAGGTTAAACTAGATGACCCACTAGGGTCCCTTCCAACCGTACCCATTCTGTGATTTCAAAAGACTAACTCAAAAGTTTCTCTTCTTTTAATTTAAAACTAATGAAAGGAAAGACAATTAGGATTACCTGGTGTATTTTCTTTAGAAGCATCTGAAGTCAGGGTAGATAGAAGAGCTTCAGATTTAAACTTCTTTTCAGGAACATGATCTGTTGTACTGTGGTGAGAAGATGGATTGTGTTTCCTTTCTAAATGAAACAAATGGAGGGAACTTAAATGTAAAACCTATTCAGCTTGAAAGTCAAACTAAAAAAACAGCACTTTCAACTAATTTCCACTAGCAAAACCTTACTATTTGATTTTTGCACTTCTTCTTAACAGACATTATTATCATTGATTATGCCTTATTTTCCCCTGAAATGTCTGGAAGGAAAAAAATTCAGAATATTTTTTTTCCTAACACTACTCAAAAAAAAAAAAAAAAAAAAAAAAAAAGGAAACATAAAAAGTGGCCACTTTTTTAAAGTCTCAAATACTTACTCTCTACTGGAGTATGAGAATGGGCGTGATGGTTATTCACAGGCTGTGATGGTGTATCCAGCTCCAGAGACCCTAAGAAGGGGTGAAAAGGTTAGGAAAATTTCAGAGTTGTCCTTGCCATGCTTTTGACTTTTAGATATTAAGTGAATCTTTATAATATTAATCAAATCACTATGCAGTTATATTTATTTTAATCATAAGAATTTTTGCTAGAGTAGAAACCCTTCCCACAGTACAACCAGGAGCCAGTGAGATTAGTTTTAAAAGTTGGTGAATGCTAGTGTTTAACTATTGAAATCAAGAAGTTAAAATCAAGGTCAATAAGGAGAACAAACAACATTGCCCTCAACATGCCACTTATTCAAATGAGTTGCACACAAGCTGGTGATGATTGGAGGATGGCTGCACCAAAACTACTGACAATCTCCACCAATATGAATTGAAAAATGTAACAGGTCAACTATGCAAACAAGACGTTGTCCCACTGAGTCCATCTTGTCAAAATGGAAGCAATAGCAATGTATTTCCAGATGATTTAACATTCAACAGGAAGGGCTTCACTACCATTATCCAAATTTTCCTAACGCTTAAAATAAAAAGAGCAATTAATACAAAGAAAAAACCCACCTATGAAGTCGGTGAGGCACGAATACAAGTATACATCTAGGAATAATATTTATTATAGGATGAGGCTAAATAATTGCAGGATGGGAGAGACTTTTGACTATAAATTTCCATTAGCACAATATACAACACTTTGTGCATCAATCTCTGGCAAAAAAAATCTGAAGTAGCTGCAATATCTACTAACTCATGTCTACATAGGAGACTATTCAAGAAAGCAAGTGACATTCATTTTTCAAAATCTGTAGCTTCAACATTTCTTTACTTTTTTCAGTGCTTTCAAAAAGCACTGAAATACATGAGTATATGAGTAATACATAACTGTATTACAAAAGCTTAAATAAAATTATTCTGGAAGAAGTTCAAAGCATAACGAGCTATTTTGGCTGAGCAAACTTCAATCATATCATCAACTCGCCCAAAGGCTGCCCTCTGGCGGAACCTCAGCTATATGCATTTATTCTGAAAGTGAAAAAATTTACAGGCTTCTACTTTTAGCTTTATTTAAACAAACAAAGAAAACCCAAATCCAAACAAACCTTAAAGATGCCACATGCAGTTTAGTGCTTTTCTATTCTGAGTTCTTGAAATGCTACCTTAGCAACCTCTCCAAACACATAGCTCAACAGAAAATAAACAGCTGGGATTTCAACTAAAATAAACTAATCATTTTATGTAGTTGCTAGTTCATTAAAAGCATTCAATTTACATTTTTTTCTTTGTGCCTGTTATTTGTAATAGCAATTAAAAATAAAATATCCCAAAACTCCCAACTCATAAGCCAAAGCCACAAAAAGTTCCAAGAAAGAATACTTATTCCCAATATCCTCAAGTGATTTAAGTTACTTTTCACTGTGTTTGGCTATGAGGACAACCACTGCCTCCATAATCACAGTAATTAAAGGAACTCAGAAATATATCATAATCACATCCAAACTTGATGTTTAAATGCTGATGTGTACAGAAAAGCCAGACTCTTCTACACCAAGTTGGTCAAAAAAGATGTCACATTACATTTTTGTTCACATTCTTAACACCAGTATTGCTATATTTGTTCAACATGCAGGTTTCTTACCTAAAATGCTCTTCCCTCACTACACCATTACAAAACAACCCATTCTCACCCCTTTAAAAAAATAAGTTTCTAACTGTATTTGATATTCCACACCTAGAACTAAAATAAACTAAAGACCCTCCTCAGTGTGGTGGCAATCAAATCAAGGAAGAAATAGTACAATTGCAACTGGGTAGGTGACAGGCTTATACTGAAGTACTTGTCTGAATACCTCCAGTCATTAAAAACAGGTTTAAAGAATTCTGCACCTGTCAGATACAGTCACCAATTCACAAGTGCAACAGTTGTGTGAAAAAGTTATTTTAATTACTCAGTTGTATTTTGACTTCACTGGTAAAAATTGATGTTGAAACTAAAATTTGAGAATCACTGACGAAAAGTGGGTTAAAACAGTTTTAAAACAAGTAGGAATACTGCCTGCCACTAACAAGTGTATGATATTTTAATTTTGCAAATTGACAGAAAGTGTGTCAAGTTCTTAAAGAAAATCATGCATACTTACGTCTCTCTAATATTTCTGTGATTCCAGCATTATCTGCTTCAAGTTCCATTTTAAATTTAGCGAGTTCCTGGTCCAATTTTCTCAAATGACGGTCCACCTGTTTTTCAGACAAACCAACAACAAAGAGCCTCCAGTTCTGGAACATGAACATCTACATCCTTAATTTCAGACTTGCTAAGTATTTCCCTTCCAGCAATTTTATGCCATGCACGATTAAGCATGTACAGTAACACACAGAAGCATATCTTCTTGGTCACCTCCATTTCCCTCACTCAGCAGAGACACTGGTGTTAACACCAAAATAGCGCAGGCAGTGATCCAACACACTGTCATAAGTGTCACTTTCGAGAAAAAAGATGAAGAGGACTTTGGAGGTGCTGTGGATATGTCAATACAAAGGAGAAGAGAAAGAACAGTTCATGACATGGGCTTTAGAAGAGGTTGGGCTGCTTTGGGGAAATTGAGTCTTAAGTAAAAGTGTAGAGATTCCTGTGCGTTTGAGTAAATCATGATGTGCTCTTGGGTACTAAAAATTAACAAAAAAACCCCTGAACTCACTAACGTGAAAAGAAACACTATGTTGCAAATGCCTTCTACGTCTGCAGCCATCCAGCAAAATATATCTGTCTCTATTAAAAACTGAACAGGTTTTTCAGTTACCAGCTAACCAAAAGAGAGGATATAAGAGCTGACTTCTGGAACAAACTTTTGGTGCTGCTGTGAAACTAAAGCAGATGTTTTGTGTTTACTACATTTGAGTGCAGTGTGACTTGCAGGGTCTAAGAAAATGCAAAGTAAATATACTTAAACTTCAAAACCCACATGCCACTATTCTCTGGGCCCAGTCATCCAGTCAGTTTTTTACCCAGCCAATAGTGCACCTGTCCAAGCCAGGAACAGTCAGTTTCCCCAGAAGAATATTGTAGGAAACAGCGTTAAAGGGTTTATTAAAGTCCAGGCAGACAGCCTTTCCCTCATCTGACAATCAGGTCACTTTGTCAAACGAGGAGATCAGGTCATTCAAGCAGGACCTGCCTTTCCTAAACCCATACTGTCTGGACCAGATCCCCCTGGCTGTCCAGCTCGTGCTGCAGGATGGCTCTCAAGATGATCTGCTGTTGCAGTCCAACAGAAAAGGAAGTGCTAGGATTAAGCAGGAAACCTTGGGCCACAGGGGCTGGAAAAAAACATCATCTAAAAGACCAGAGAAGATCCACAGACATTCACTTTGTGTGGATTGTCCTGATCTCCCCCAGCAGGAAGTAGAGAGACTTTGCATGATGCTATCAGATACCTCATTGTTTTCTCCCTCCCTGTGTAAATCCTTATTTCAGGAAAAGCTGACCACCCTTCCCCAGTATAATCTTGCTTACTGGAAATATCAAATCCTTTTTCCCCCAAATGTAAATACTGGATCTGAAAAATGTAAATCCATTTTTCCCCTTATGTCACCCCTGTTACTGGAAATGCTAATAGATTGTGGAAACCACTGTTTGGAATAACCCTGCTTCCTCATTAGCATGTTAAGCCCCCGAGACCCTTAAACAGCATTTGCATGTTCAATAAATCATTCCAGTTTTTGCCCCCATAGTTGGGATCATGATAGCTTTATTAGACCCTTACAATCTGCTCCATGACCTTCCCCAGCACTCAAGTCAGGCTGACAGGCCTGTACTTTCCCGGATCCTTTTTCCGACCCTTCTTGTAGATGTGCATTACATTTGCTAATTTCCAATCATGTGGAACTTCTGCTAAATGAATGGAAGTGGCTCAGTGAGCTCTTCCACCAGCTCCCTCAGTGTCCTTGGGTGGATCCCATCAGGGCTATAGACTTTTGTGGTCTATGTGGCATAGCAGGTCACTGACCATTTCGCTTGGATTATGGGGACTTCATTCTGCTCCCCAGGTCAGGGGGCTGGTTACCGTGAGAACAACTGGTCTTGTTACTAAAGACTGAGGCAAAGAAGACATTAAGTACCTTGCATCCAGTAAAGGGTGGAGATTTTCCTCAGCCCTCCTTTTGTTGCTGATATATTTATAAAATATTTTTTATTGTCTTTTGTAGCAGTAACCAGTTTTAAGTTCTACTTGGGCTTTGGCCCTTCTAATTTTCTCCCTGCATATACTCACAATATCCTCGTAGCCCTCCCAAGCTGCCTGCCCCTTCTTCCAAAGATGATACACTCTCTTCTTTCCCCCCAAGTTAAAGCTATTGTTCTCTATTTAGCCCAGCAAGCATTCTTTCCCACTGGCTTCGTTTCTGGCACATGGGGACAGCCTGCTCCCGTATATTTAAGATTTCCTTACTGAACAATGTCCAGACTTCCTGGACTCCTTTGCCCTAAAGACTGCATCCTGAAGGACTCTTTCAACCAGTTTCCTAAACAGGCCATAGCTATGCACGAAAACCTTACAATTTCTAATCTTATTTCTTTGTTTTGTATTTAAGTGACGCTTACTACCAAAATAACAAAATTCTTAAAAGTCAATAAAATATTAAATGTTTCTTTCACCAGCAAAATATCTGTATGTAGATGACACAGAAGTACAGGTAGCACAGCTGTAATGCTTATCAAAATTCTTAGAACTCCTTAGGGCATAAATTTAGGTAATTCACCACAAGTCTTGTGTCCACTTACCAGATCATATATTTGATTAGCCAGTTGCACTTTTTCATCTGCATCTTCCAAAGCCTTATAATAATCCTGTTAAAGAGAATTTTTTTTAAATTATGAACATAAATTAATTTCCACTATTACTTTTAAGCTATTGTTATCCAACACAAAATATAAGCTAAAAGAAGAAATTCAAGTCAGTTTTGAGAAAGCCTGTGAAACTTTACTGTAAACAACAATCAGCTAAATTTTAAATGAGAGATATAATATATACCAATTTATTGTCTGGGCCTTAGAACAAGCAAACTACAAGATGGAGACATCTCCTCCTACAGTGACATTTATATTTCTGCAAGAAATGTTACAAGAAAAGAAACAATCCTGGATTTATTTTATATTACACAGCATAAAGTTATGGACTCAAAATGAGATTATGTCTTTTACGTCCTACAGATCTTTAGGACCACAGCAGATCCAACTGCTCTTCAAAAAGATGCTGAACAGTACTGTGCAGGGAGGCCCTTCCAACACTGCAGTTAAATAGAAACAATGTTGTATATATCTTAAATCATTTTAAAATAAATTTCTATAACTCATAAGTGTAACTTGAATGAAGCAATCCAATTTAAAAATCTGCTCTAACCAATGAAAATTCACTGACAAAACTTTTTTTTAAAAAATATGTTTTCACATGTTTTTATGTTAGATTTAAACAGATTTTACTGCCTTTTAATTCTCAATTTCCGGTGAATAGTATCTTGCTTAGACGAAAACTACTTGAAATTTTGGTTCAACTAAAGTCAAAAGCAAATTTTCATTTACTCTAGGGAAGTTAGAGCTTTGACTTTTTCTTTTTTAAAATACAGAAATCTATTTGCATTAATTAAAGAAGTAAACAACCAAATAAGAGGCTGAAGTAGCCAGTGTAGGAAACTACAGAGGATTTTCTCCCAACCAAATGATGGACTACACTGCAAAAAATACCACCACCAATGCCCAAGTACTGAAAGATAGAACACATCCATCTTCTTACTCCTCCCTCCCTCAAGCTACATGTACCATAAATATAACATATAAAAGGACAGAGGTAGAATTACAGGAAATGCTAAATCTAGCTTTAAAATTATCCTCTAAAAGAAAGTCAATTAACTTACACAACTTCATGTCACACAAGGAGAAACAAAAAATCTGAGCTGAAAATTTAGTACCTGGTTTCCTCACCATTTCAGGATCATATTTTTTAAATTGCTAGCAAATACTGGGTAAAACTTGAGAGAAATGCTTGATCAAAGAAACCTTTCAGTCACTTTTCTCCTCCGAGGTAGTTCTATCCATCTCTATGAAAGCCCAAGGGAAGGCATAGTTCTGAACACTTAAGTCTCCATCTATCATAAGCTATTTTTTCCTAAGGTTATCTTAATTTGCAAAAGAAAAATGTTACCCACTCCTGTGATATCCTTACTTTTTTGATTGATGTCATTTGTTCTTCTCTCCATTCAGGTTTGTTTTTCTTTGCGTTCATAAAAAATTCATTTACCCTCTGCTCAAGCTGATCCATTGCATCTGTAGCATAGGAAAAGATTAAGACAAATATTATCTTCTCATGTACATAAACATTAGGAAATAATGGGAGATTTTTTTTCTCAAACAAAGTTGACAGGACTGAGGTGCAAACTATTAGAGAGGAAAAAAAAGAAAAAACCAAAACAACCAAGCGACAGTGGACAGCGGAGGGAATTATTTACCTTCATTTCCAAGAAGCAGAATTGCATTCTGGTAGGATTCTCATCAAGGTTCTTGTGCTCTCCAGCATGGGACAGGCAGGACTCCAAGTTCTAAAGGTTTTTTGTCCCTAAGAGCAGTGGTAGTGACTTAAAGCACGACCCAAACTCCTCACCCAGGGCTCTAGATTGCTGACTTTGGAACATTCTAGCCAGTTACAAACTGAGCAGGAAACAAAATATTCTCCTAAGAGAAACAGTCAAATACAAAACCAAATAATTGAAAAAAATTAGTGCCTCAAAAAGGTAGAGCAACTGAAGAGTAAAGTCACTGCCTTTAAATCAAGGCCCTCTCCATTGTATGCTATGAAGGGTAAGGGCAAAGCACAAGTTATTCCCCCATCCCCACAGGGGTAAATCACTGATGAAATACTATTTAGACAGGATTCTCACTTACATAAAGTTTAGAAATATCGTAAGGGGAAAAAATAAAACCACCAATTTTCTAACATTAACTATCTCTAGAAAGGAAAATGTTAACTACAAGGGGGTTTTTCTGTTGTTTATTAAGACAGTAACAGGGATTCCCTTCCCTTTCCCTTCATGCTTCTCCCACTGAGTTTACTACTTCAACAGTTGTGCACACAACAGCTTGCATATTTCCAAAAACGTACAGCTGCCTCAGTCAAACCTGCTTTGACAGCCTTGCTAGTGTCAGGGTAGATGACAATACTGATTTTTTTTAACAGCACTCTCAGCAACGCTGCCCAGACAGCAGTTTCAAATTAAATGTGACAACCCACAAACTACCTAGACTTCAGGTTCTGGATGTAAAACAGCTAAAAAACTTTCCAGAAACCACCATCAAAACTGAATTACATGATGGGCATCATCTCTTGCCAAAAAAAAAAAAAATGGAAGTGAATTATCTAGTTCAAGAAGCTCATGAAAGACAGTATGACTAACTCTTAAAACCCAACAGAGGCCAAAGGTCTTTTCACCCTATGAAAATTCACAGCTAAAACTATTTATGTAAATAACCAAAAATCATTCATACTAAATGATCAAAAACATTCATCAACTTTCCCTATGCTGGGAACATCCAGCACAAAACCCAACAGGAACCTAACAACTCTCACCATTAATCCCAAGCCATAACAGTTGTGACACAGGCTCACATCAACTTTGTTTAGACACAGACAAACAAAGCATTCACACTTTTGGTGTAACACAGGCTAAAGATGGGAGAATCTGTACAATGAGCATTTTCCACTTGCACCATGTTATCCAGGGAGAAAGTTAAGAAGCCTGAAAAGCAATCAAGAAGCACACACTTTATGTGGAGGCTTCTAAAATGACTTCTGACCAAATGACAACAATTCGGTCCATAAAGCCAACAAACTAAATGTTCTACCTTCTATCCCAGAGCCCATACACCTTAGGTGATAATTATTCCAAGAGCTCCATAGACAAGAAATGACAAAAAAAATCTTTCCTCTTCACTTTTTATTGAGGACACGTTATCAGTCTGTGTGAAACTGCATAAGGGAAAACTTCCACAGAAATTTGGTTTCTCCTAAAAGGGCAGAAACGGCAAAGGGAAGTGAAGGTGAGATCTACCAAATTATATGAAAAGTTCTCTCTGGTACACTCAAGTTCATCCACCTTTTCTTCCTCCCAACCTTTTTAATCCAACTGTGATACTATATTCTGAGACACTAATTTCTTATATCAGATTTCTCAGGGGAGTTACCAGGAAATCTATTAGAAGAGAGGCTTTTTTCCAGAGTTTTATGTTTTACCATAAAGGCCTGATAATCCATGACTTGACCTTAAACAGAGAAACATTTTATGCTTCATGTAGAGCTCAGTTAAAGCTCAAGAGTCAAGTCACAACTCCGATGACCTTTGCTTTTCCCACAGCAGTCTTATCAGAACATACAGAAGGTACATCTGGTTTGTTATTTCTTCCAACAACAGCAGCACCTGCTCCATTAGGAGTCCAAGTGGTCTAAACAGGACAGAACATAAAGTCAACACTGACTCTAAAACAGAGCAGCACAGGTGTCTCTGAATTACAGCTCATGTGGATTTCTGGGACAGCATCACTCATCAAACTACTGTTTCCAAGTACTTTCAAGACCCTGAATCTTCACAGCAAGTCACTGTATCACAGCACGAGAACAACCTCCAGGTTTGTATGTAGGGCTCACCGGGCAGTTTGGCAACTGATGTTAGAGATGCTACTCCAGAAATTTTGTAAATGTCTTTGGATGCTCTGTCACTCACTGTGTAAAAATAACAGAAGTACCAAGGCCTGAGAGAATTTTTCTCTGTGCCCAAGGTTGGTCCTAGTATACAGTATTCAGTGTCATTTGCTATTTCCAGCAATACAATATGGAGTGTTATTTGTAATTTCCAGTTAAAGAAGAGGAAATGACACTCCTGCAACCTTGGCAATGCTAGCTGGCTCAATTCTGAAACACACTTAAAAAAACCCCTACTAGCTTCTTTGCCTCTCTATGGAACAAAAGTAAAAGTTGTGAACTTATTCCAAACTACCTAAGTCAGTGAGCCGCTCACCCCCTCTCCAGGTGCTCTCTGGTGAAAGTGACTTTAGAGGGATTTTCTCCCATAAGGAGCCATGACTGTTCCCACAACTTTAAGCACTGAACCCAAGATAGCACTTGGGTCATAATATACCAAAAAAATCCTATAGCCACTTATGTGTGTGTCAGCAGGGTCTGTTAAACAGACCTGCTGGGTCTACCAAAGTAAATATCCAAGGAAAAGCCTAAGACTGCACTTTGAAATATTATAGGTTAAACTACAGTTTTCAAGAACTGTTCCCACTTAGTCCTGCATTGTGTATTCCTATACAGCATTCCCTTGTTATTTCAAACTTTGCTCTTTCATTCCTCTTTACAATAGCCTAACCCTTCTATATGGACGATTCCTCACATCTCTTGTGCAATAACAGCTTCATTAACGAAGACCTTTGGATCACAGTTACAGATAACCATATTAACTGTCTGTTAAATGACCACAACAGCTAATTAGATATTAAAGGACATCGAAGTCCCAGATGAGATTGCATTAGAAAGGATGAAAGGCCAGTGCATCCTGAAAACAGCATAAAGCAGTGTATTACATCAGGATATAAGCAGAGATATAAAGTGATCTAAAAGAAACCTAAAATATATTTGTAGAAAACCCGAAGTATAAGTAATATAGTTTTTATATGTATATATATACTTATATACACTATATTATATATATTTATACTAAACATGTAATTATATTAAATATATATTCATCTAAAATGTAACTTGTATAAAACCTAAAGTATACTTATAAAGTATATTGGTTATGTGTCAGCTAGGGCACGAGAGGCAGAACAAAGAGCACTTTCACATGTGCTATTTTAAGGGAGCTGGCTGGAAAGTTTCAGGGACAGCACGCCGCTGCCTGCTGAAGGAGCGGGACACAACTCATGTTCCAAACCACCATCACTGCTCTTAGGGATCAAAAATCTAAAGAGTTTGGGACGTGCCACCGAAAATGCCTTAGCGAGCAGCACAAGCCCAGGAGCTCCGCTCCAGCGAAACCTTCCCTACGCCGAGGCCCGGCGGCGGGCGTGGGTCGGGGCGGGCCCGGGTCTGTCGCGACAGCGCCGGGGGCGCGCGCCCCGCCCCTCGCAGCGCCCCGGCGGCTCCGCAGCGCCGCCTCCCGCGGCTCCGCAGCGGCCGCGGGACACAACGAGAGCGCCCGGCACAGCCGGGACACCAGCCGTGACAGAGCGGACGGAGAGCCGGGGCGAGGGGCGGGCAGGGGGCGACACCGCCCCGGGGCAGCCGGGGGGCGGCGGTGAGGAGCGAGTGGCTCCGCCGGCACGGGCCGGAGCGGCGCCGCTTCGCCTCCTTCCTTCGCCGCTCGGCCTTCCTTCCTCCCGCCCTGCGGCGGGGGCGCGGCGGTGGGGCCGGAGCCCGCGGGGCGGAGCGGGGCGGGCGCGGAGGGGGCGGGCGGAGGCGGCGGGGGCGGGACTCACGTACTCTGCACCTGCAGGTCCATCTCGCGCATCTCGGTGAACCTGTCGCGCAGATCCATGGGAAGCTGCTCGATCACTGCGGGGACACGGGGGAGCGGGAGAGAGGGGGGGGGGAGCCAGTCAGTCACTCGCCGCCGTGGGGGAGGGGGAGCGCCGCCTCCTCGCCGCGGCTCCCCCCGGCTCCCCCGCACCTGCCGTGCCCGGCCGCCCGGCGTCCCCGCCGCGCACACACTCACTCTCCAGATAGTCCTCCAGGTACAGCATGGCGGCGGCCGGGCCCGCGCCCAGGGGCTGATCGAGAGCGGGGGCTCGTCCCTTCCAATATGGCGCCGCCGCCAACAACACCCGCGCCTCGACTCAGCGAAAACAACATTGGCGGCGGACGGCGCTCGCAGCCGCCGCGCCGCGATTGGCTGCCCGCGGCACTGACGCACGGCGCGGCCGGCGCGCCGGCCCGCGGCCTCACGGGAAGTGTAGTGTCTATGCGGGGAGGCGGCGTGTCCCGCCATGCCGCGTCCTCCCGGCCGGTCCGCCGCCCTGGGGGCATTCCCGCGGTCCTTGCGGGCATTCCGGCCCTCCAGGGGCCGCGGGATTCTTGCAGCGCTGCTGCAAGTCAGGAGAATGGAAAGGGAAAACTTGCAGCTTCTTGACCAGACTTGGGCCTTTTGTTTGTTTATAAGTTGTTGTTTTAAATGCTGGCAGCTGGCAGTAGTGCATAAAAAGCATAAGAAATGTCAAAACTAATGAAATCGCTCCAATCTGTGTCTTCTCACGAGTGGCCTAAGGTAAAAGAGCTGCTCAGTTCAGCACAGGTCACAGGTAGTGACCACCTTACGACAGCAGAAATTTAGCGTGGGCTTTAGTGTTGCTGTTCAGAGTGCAAAAAAATAATTAGCTGGTAGCATTTATTGCAATCCAGTTAAAACACTTCTTGCAGTAATTTAAGTGTTTGTAGCTGAGGTTTTTCACGCAAATTCTATCCCCCGAATAGTTTATTTCATCACTCTTTTATTGCTGATATTTATTGCTCTAATCATGGACTGGTGTATTTATCCAGATTGGGTTTTTGACTGAGGAAAGGAATTTTTGGGGCTCGCATGATGTCAGGTGTAGGTAAAGGAGCATAAGAACTGTTGTAGCAGATCAGGCTTGTTTTCCACCACACTTTTTATCTTCTCTTCATGTTCTCATCTGCACCATACACATCCGAGCAAGGAGAGAAAGTGGATGTTTCAGCCATATCTGAGTAAAAAACTTTATTGGGATGTTTTTGAGGGTCAAGACCAAGGGAAAATGACATTATTTTATCATGTGTTAAGTTCATACATCGTGAGTAGTTAGCTGAAGATGACTGAATTTTGGAAATTGAACCATAAATTTTGTATGTAGTCTGTACGTAGGCTCATGGTAGCAATGTGTTGAATACATAGGGTATAGCTAAACATTTTTAATTCTTCTGTCATTAAAGATGGAGGGGGGAAAAGGTATAATAATAACTTCTCAACTTTGCGAAAAAAGTGCTGTGCCAAAGTGGTCGCTTTCCATGCTCACTCCATCATTAGCCATGTAGTCTGTACTGCCAAACCAGAAATATCAACCAGTTCAATATATACAAATGAACAGATTTTATATGGTCATTAAGCTCAATTAGCCTTAGTTGAAATAATCTGTATATAGTTGCTTATACAGATCACTTTGGTGTACAGCTTCTGAGACAATGGACTAGGAATGACAGTATTTTTGAAGTTTTGTGTGAAAAATTGCTTGGCCTGATTATGCTATGTAGAAGACAATACTGACCATTCCTGGGAAGATAAATGCCTGTATGAGAAATAAAAATACGGGTTTTTTTATAAATAGGCGTATCGTGAAGTTGTAAGATATCCAAGTTCCAAGAGCTGAACTTGGGTATCAGGGTCTCTTTCGGTGAGATAAGGGAAATGAGAAAATTCTTAAAAATCAAATCTTTTAAGGCCATTTTTCTCTTTGGGCTAAGAACAAAGGAAGATCCATCACCTTTGACAGGAAATGGCTTGCAGCCAATTGGGAAAAGGAAAAGCCCCTTTTCAGAGAAAAGAAACCTTTTTAGGTAAATAAGAATACATTGAAACTTATATGAGAAGGGTGGGATTTTTGAAAACTATAAACTGTATAAGTTGTATGCTCACGGGGTCTTTTCTCCCCGAAAAACTTGGTGGGAGAAGGACCCGGCACACTGAATAAATTCTTTGTTTCTTTGTTCCCTGAATTATGCCGTCTTTCTGAATTTAGAAGAGGGATTTTTCCCACACTTGCACTTTTATTGAAGTGAAAGGGTTTGATTGCAGCAAGAGAGCTTAGCCCATGCAAAGTAGTGACATCCAATATTCATTAGGAGAAAAGCTAGGTGAATTTAGGGGAGGTCTGAATTGATGGGGTCACTTTCTTTTATGCTAAGTCATGGGTTTAATGTTTTCTAAAGAAAAAAAAAGTCATAGACATGTCTGGGAGTAGATTTCATGGAGCAGAAGTTTAAGAGAACCATATTGTACACAAAGATACCACTGTTAGAACTACAACTAAAATACAGTCCTTAGCATTTGCTTCATGACCAAAATCCCAAGACAACACAGACATTGGGACCTTGTGACTTATACTGTGCTGCAGTTTGCAAGGCTGTGTTTGACACATTGTCATCTTTGCAAGCTTGGGAATAGCCAGTAAAATTCTCATTGGGGGCTACTATGCACAGGTATTTTCATCTGTTTTCTGTGGGTTGTGTCCAGACCAAGCAACCCAAGAAACATAGCTTTTGGGGCTGTGTCTCAGTCATTCCCATTAGCAATGGCATGTGCCCTGTCTATATTGGTAAAAAGGCAAAATGAAACTCAGGTATGCCAACAGAATGACAAAGTACTAGTGGGGCTGGCTGCTGTCTTCAATGTATGTTTTGTGGTTTACTGGAATGTGAGAGAGTTTTATTAAAATAGACACCTGCTTCAGAAACTGTTCATTGTAGTGCTGTACAGAAGAGGATGGGATTATGCAGTAGAATAGAATTGAAAATACAATTCAACTTTGTTCAGTATTTATTTAAAAGAAAATAGGAACTTATTTATTTACCTGTAGTCCTCTTCAGTATTTTTTTTTTTTGACAAATGGAGAAACTTACATTTTTCATTTCTGCGAATGTTAACTCGTATAGTGAAATGAGTAGCCACCCCAACTTCAGTGGGATTCCTTGTGTAAATGGTGCTTATCATGACCAATGGCACTGAGTTTAAACTGACATTTAAGAAGTGATAAGCCACTCAGACCATAAAAAAGAAACTGTTTTTACAATGGGAAACTTCCTGTTGTGTATAAATGCAAAGAATTAACTCCATTGATTAACTCAGCTTTTAGAACAGCCTCACTAGAACAGCTCCTGATAAGGAAACATGTATTAGTGACTGTTTATTGGAATGCAAATATAGTGAAAAGGAACTAAATGCCAACTGTGAACTCAAGGTAAAAAGAAATTCAATTTGTGAATTACAGTCAACATTGCTCAAAAAACTTCTGTGCATCAACAGAGCTGCTTAGCACAGGAAAGGAATGGAAGCCACAGGAGCTGCTGTTTTCTCCTGTTTATATAATGTTATTAATGTTGATGGCATTTCTCCAGCAAATGTTTCACATAAATCATGTTTCATCACTGTGGCAGAGTGATGGCATAAAGGAATATTATAGTTGCCATGTGGTCTACCTAAAGCTAATTGCTTGCATAGGTTTCATTAGTTTTCAGCTGACAGGAAAAAATCTGATTAAAAACATGGATTTATGTTCTGATATACACTTCTCAGATGGGGTTAAGACTTTCAAATTTTCTCCCTTGCTTCTGCTCTTACCCATTCCAGATCTCTGTAATGTCCTTTTTCATTATTCTAATTTCTTCAATATCTTCCCACGTGTGGGGTTGTTTGACATGTCTAACTCCATCATTTCCATCATTACATTTCACCTGCTATCTGTCTCTTGGTCCCTCTCTTTCCTTGTTCCTTCCTAATCCATTCTGTCTTCTAAGCTGTATGATTGCTGGAGCTTTCTGTAACCATTTAGGACCATCCCAGTTACGTATTTACTTCAGTACTCTGATTTTTAACTCTTGTCTAATACAGTGTTACTGGACCTACAGTCC